ACCTCACCTACTAGGATTGTACAGAATGGAGAATTATAGCATTTTCTACACATACACTTATCTTTTCTCCTCGAGTTTCACTCTTCAATATCATGCATATAGTCTTTTTTTTTTCTAAAAACCTAAGTTAAGAGTCATTTGAAAAATCTTTTCGAAAGGTATTCCAAAATATTTAATCATTTAAGATAATAAAATATTAAAGACAAAGACTTGAAAAAATTAATTTTTGTTCAAAGAATGATTTTCTCTAATGGGTTTCTTTTGTAAACCATCTTTGAAAAGAACCATTTGCATATTTCATAAAAAGATTATTGAAAAAAAATTCAAAAAGTTAACGTCAAGCTCCTTATTTTTAAAATAGAAATTATCCATAAAGCCCAAAAAGGGGAAGTTAGACGAGGAGAAAAGATTTTGAAAAATTTTACAGTTAGATATTAACATGACTCAAGTCAAGCTTGAGTGAGTTCTTTTAATGTGATTCAATATTGATTTTATTCATGGAATGCTTAATTTATAAAATCCTTTTGTAAATTTATTTTTCCTCAATTTCTTCTTGAAGCTTTTCATTAAAGTCTCAAAAGATCATATTTTCATGTCATCTTCTTATTTTCCTTTAGCTTATGAATGCTTTTCAGCATATACAGCTACTTTGACTCTGGGCTGCATACGGTTAGTCATAAACATAATCTCAAAGCATCATTAGTATTGATTAAGTGTTTCTCATTTATCAAAATCAATGTGTATATCTCAACAATCTCTCCTGTCTTGATAAGATGACAAAAATTAATTTGCATAAACATAATAATCCTTACTAAAAGGTTCCTAAGAAAGAAAACAATAAATATTCAATTTAGCACACTTAAGGTTCTCTTTTATTTTTAAACCTATCTACATATGAGTAAAACATATTAACTTTTTATCTCCCCCTCTTTTTCATCAATAAGAAATATGTAGAAGAGATTCATATGGCTCATAGATGAACTCAAAAAGATGTCATCTAACAAAAATTGAGTTCATAGTTCACTTTTTTTTCATCCATAACTCCCCCTTAATAATTGCAATGAAGTATGAGGCAGCATATGGAAGACGACACTCAGGAATTAAAAAAATGTTGAAGCTTTATGTTCTCCCTTACTTTATATCTAAACTTTCACTAAGGTGGAAAAGAAAATTTTCTCTGAAATCACTCTCCTCCTTACTTTATGCTTACTACTAAGCTAAGTTAGTAAAAGATTTCTTAATATTAAGTTCATACTCCCCTTTATTAGATACTCCCATGCTTAATCTTAGTTTTTTAATTTAGTTCTAGGCACATTCCTAAGGAAAGATCTCCTACATATTTTTAAGTTTTCTTTTATGATTACTTTCTTTCTTTCTTTTTTACTTCTAATCTAAATGTTGTATTTCTAAGATTATAGTTCTATGTTTTAATGGAACACTATAATACAATAATACTCAATATCAACAATTAGTTTTTAATTGTTGAAATGTCATAAAAGAAACATTTCTATTACATATACATGATTAAAACTCACTTTGAAGTCCGGATTCCATGTTAATGAGGCATTTAAAGGAACTTACATGCTTATTACAATAAAATGGCTTAAATCTCAATATCCTAGATTCCTATGTGCATCTTTTATCAAGAAGACTTGTACCTATCATCTATAGATATGTTGTTTATAAGTTTATAGCATGAATCACATGTATATAGTTCATTCTCAGTGCATAGATTTATAGAAAAGTCTTAATCGTCTCCTTCATGATATGTAGTTTTAATAACCACTAAAGAACGATATTCTTGTGATTTCTATGTTCAACTCTCTTCATCTAAAAAATCTTATTAGTGTTTGTTATTTAGGATTAACGCGTAGGTTCTTCTTTTATCTTTTTTCGGTGACTTATTTAAGGTTTATTTATGAATTTACTTACTCCCAGTTTTTTTTTTTCCCTAACTTCTGAACTTGTTTTGTCCAAATGATATGTCTAGTATTTTTGTTTCTAAAGCTAATGTTCGTATACCTTCAAGTTACAGGTTTTAATATAATGAATAATAAACCTAAAAAAAACCTTGATGTCAAGAGATACCAAACTAACTTCGTCCATGCATTCCATCAATCACCATATTTTGTTCAAATTAAAACGTTTTTAACAACTTAATTTAAATTATCTCTATAAGATCTTCCAAGAAACTTTTGTCCTTCATTCTTCATGTCAGTTTCCAAGGAGTCACATGCTCTATGTTATAGTCATTGTAAGCCGAGTTATCAGGAATTTCTTAAACTTGTTCATTTTTAAGAATGTTGGGTCTTGCACATTGCTTTATGATGTAAGATACCAGGGACTCGAAAAGAAGTAAATCATTTCTTGTTTTGATTTTCCATATTTTATTCAAGATTACGTAAGGTAAACGTACCTTATTAAGTTCATCTCTATTGTTGTCATGTCATTCGCTTACAAGAATTTTAGTTGAGGTGATACTGTTGATTATTTTTGCGTTCAAAAACAGTCGTACAAGAAGGAGAGACGAATAAAAAAACTTAATTCTTCATTTGTGATTGTACAATTAATGAGTATCTGTAGGCACTAACACAACTAGTAAATTTCAAATATATAAAGTATAATTTAATCTAATTCATGAATTATAATTTCGTTTAATACACGAATTATTTAAAAAAGGGTCAAAAACATATATAAATTTTCTTGTAAAATAGAAAGTGTAAACATGTTGATATTTTATAAATTATTGTTTTCAACAAGATACATATTATTGCTAACTAGGTGAGTGGTGAAATGAAGTCCATACAAATGCTAGCTACGTTGCTATGGAGAGGATGAAGACAGATGGAGTTGCGTGACATTAGAGGCGCCTGAAGAAACCACGTGTCATCATGTTAGAGTTTGCTATACGCGTAACTATGACACATCTATATGATTGATATTGATCATATAATTTTGTTACGTAGCCAAACAAAAAGAAGTTTCAAATGCAAGTTTTCACATGGAAGTTAGCACAAAGATTCAGGAGGGGCATGCTTGTATGCAGATTAATTCCAGAGTTGTGGCAGCTTCGTGGGGTCAAAAAGTGCCAACCCAATCACGTGTCTCGGCCCAGCCGTGGCCTCACCATTGGGTGCATGATTATGTGCGCCACTGGCTTCCGTGGCTAACCCGATGGTCCCTCATCCACGCCACTCCTGGTTGCATGCTGTTGAAATAAAAATAATCATTCATTCCCCCCTCACACTCTGTACTCTTTAACTCATCCATGCATCCTAACATAACCATCATTTTCGTTTTTATTCATTATTTTAGGACACAAAAATCTTAACAATTCATATTCTTTTTACACATTTGGCATATTGGTTTTGGCGGAACACAATAGGTCACATGCTATATGCATGGGCTTGGATCATTTATATTTTGCAAGATGGAATTTTTTTTATGCTCTTTGTGGCGTGCGTGCGTGCGTGCCTGCACCTTTTCTCTGTAAGTTCTAATATTTATCATCTTTTAAGTCTTCTTTCTAACGTACCGAGTAGGAAGGAGCTCGTGAGATATTTCCATATATAAATTCTTGCGTATTTAATGAATTTACACTTAGTTTATTTTTATTTCAATAATATAAAAAAAATTACAAAATAACTAATTTTCGTAAAATGAATTTCTTTTATATATTATCCGAATAAAGTTTTAATAAGTTCGAAAGGCGGTTATTATATGATTTGGAAGTGAGACTCATAATGACTTCTTCTCTACATTCAAGGAAGAGATAAGAAGTCGTAACACTCCTTGCAAGCGAGCAACATGTTGGGGTGGTCTCACTCCCGAAAAGTTCTTATTGACAACTGTTTAAGAGAAATATAACGTTTAAAGTAGAATTACGTAAAAGAAAGTATATTCCTATATTGATGTTATGTGTCCTATTTGTTCAAATTTTCTAGAATTTCGTAGTTATATGTTTATGAAATGCATTGTTCTTTGAAATTTTAGTTTTTACTTTAAAAAATATGAATTTTTGCGGCGTTTTCAAAACATGTTAAGACACTTTTTTTTTTCTCTTTTGGTCGTCTCCTGAATTTTATCCCAACTCAAGAAAAGTTTACTAATGTGATTGATATAATACTTGTTTGGTGGCCAAAGAGAAGATGTATCTCAAAATTGTCTACTCATCACAACTTTTTGGTTAATTCGTTAAAGGTCTCGAAACCCTTCAAAGTAATTAAAATTATTATATAACTTTTATAAGTTTGATGTCTATTAGAATTTCTAAGTAACTAAGTATTTTTACAAAATCTATTAGTTATTTAAATTATCTTTTGATATGTCATATTTGATGAAGAAGAAAACACGAAAAGAAGATGAGCTGCGTGGTAAGGCTCGAGACCTAACGAAGCTTTTGAGATTTTCATTACAACAATACCAAGCTGGAACTAATATTTGAAGCAAGAAGGGAGAGGGGCAAGTGGTGGGAGGGAGGCTTCTGGACAGAGAAAGTAGTAGGCTAGGGGTTGGTTTTTGGACAAGGAAGGATGGTGAGCTACTTAAAAGAATCACCACTCTCTCCCTCTAATGGGGTTGCGTGAATTGTAAGAAGACGAAGATACAGAGGAGAAAAGGGGTATCGTAAAACTTTTACTTAAATTTATAGATCAATTTAACTTGAAATAAGTCTGCATCTAACTTCTTTTAAATATCACGTTAAATTTCATACGACGTTTGACGTAACATTTACTCATAGACAATCAATAAAAAAAATATTATGTATTGTCATCTTCGACATCTAGTACCAAACTTAACGTTGATAATGGTTGATAACAAAAATTGATTAAATCAATTTTTTTTAAATTAATTAAATCAATAATTAATTTAAATAAAAATTAATAATAAAAGAACCAAAACCATTATTTTAGCCTAAGAATAATTATATTAATTCAAAAATATTATATTATTTTATTTTTTATAGATATTTGACAATCATTTGACAGTAATATTGTAAATGCATTGTGAAGAATAAATTAATATACTTAGAATTTACAAAGGTACTTGTGCTATATAACATATATATTGAAAGTATAATGTTGCATCATAGAGTTTGGGACTGGAGCCGCAAATGTTATATTTAGAAGCCCACTTAGAAATGGAGTGGATAAACCCATTACATTAGCACTGAAGTCAATATCTTCGATTCTAAAGTGAGTTCAAGATTCCCCAATCCAAAAGAAGTGAACCCAGCAGACAAAGACAACGAACGGCTTAACTGAGATTCCTTTAAAACTCTAATCCAAGCTTAAGACAAGAAAGGATGGTTTAGCTCTTTATCCACCATATTATGGTATTCAGAGCGCAAGCGGAGCATCTTTTCTAGTCTTCTGCCACCTTATCAGTTTCAACTTCCCACATCTGAGGACATATAACCGATTTGATGATGAATAATCTAAATGCATTTTGAAGGGTTTGGATGAATTGCAGTCATTGATATGGTGAATCTAAATTCTGGGTGCTAGAACATGCTCCTCTGCATCTTAAATGATATTACCTGTTTGAGCCTGGACTTATCCGGTGAAGTGATAACATGTGGTATCAACTGTATAACTGATAAAATTAGATTCCCTTATCCAAAATATAAATGTATACGCAATATTACCCGGCACCGTGGTCTGGTACTTTAGCTATTGCTCAACTCAAAAGTCTTTCTGCTTCAACTAAAAGATGAATTGCTTGATAATTAATTATTGTTACCGTACATTGAGAGGAGCATGTGGAAAAGTATAAACATCAAACCTGCAAACGCTGTTCCACTTTAGAAGTAGCATCTATCAAGTCAGCCACTGAAGGCAGTACTTCCCACTTTTGTCATTTGGTATGAACTCTATAATCAAGATAACACTACACCTCATTTCCATGTGAAAACTACCTCTCCTGAACACCAATCTAGTCCAGAAATAGCATAAATAAAGTCTATCATAAGGACGATGCTACTTTTGTCATTTGGTTGAAGATGCCTTTAGCACATATCAACAAGTACACCAGAAAGCATGACATGATCACCTGTTGATAGCACTAGATCGCCTATGTAAAGGCATTCCTGCCAAACCATTCATCAACCTATTATATGTGGCAAGATCAGGTATAAAACCCCTGTCCAACATCTCATCCACCAAAATTTCTCCCTCCTTCCTTCGGGCCTCCCTTGTATACCCAGCTACCAAAATGTTATACATTACAGCATCTGTTTCCAAACCCTTGCTTGAGGCCAATAACCTCAACATATTTGCATCTGTTGTTCTCACAGCATCACAAAGGTCTTGAAGAAGACAACTAAAAGTAACACTATCAGGAACCATACCCTCTTTAAGCATCTTCTCCATCAATTTGAATGCTTCTCCTCTTCTTTGATCCTTCCTCAAACCTTCAACCAAAGTAGTACAGGCAATCAAACTTGGAGCATTTCCTCCTCTCCACAACTCATCCACTACTTGTAATGCTTTAGCTGCATTCCCATTACCACAAAGCTTACCCACAAGCCCAGAATAATCAAACCCAGCAGGCAAAGCTCCCTTCATGGAAAAGTCAATCACCAACTCACAGGCCTCCGAAACCCGACCTTCGCTACAAAGTCCACCGACCAAAATCTCACACGTCACACTTGAAAACTCACACCTCAACTCGATCATCTCATAAGCCATCTGAATCCCTTTTTGAAATTTCTTTTCTCGGAAAAACCCTCTAATCAGTGTGTTAAAACTAACCACATTGGGACTACAGCCTCTTTCCTTCATCTCCCTAAACAAATCCAAAGCCAAATGAAACTTAGAACTCCTGCAATAACTATTAATTAAACTATTAAATGTGAAAACATCAGGCGTAACCTTGTCTCTCACCATCCTCTCGTAAAAGCTTACTGCCTTATCATTGTCTCCGCATCTCACATATCCATTAATCACAATGTTATAAACAACAACACTAGGCCTCCCATCAATCAACCTCATCATAGTTTGAAATGCACACAGAGCATCCTCCATCTTCCCCAGCCTGCTATAAGCTTTGATCACAAAGAGAAAAATGGTTTCAAGTTGGGGGCAAGAGAAGATACCTTGGGAACAGGGGCAAGGGTTGGCGGCGATGAAAGCAAGGAGGGACTGGAGGTCCGAGAAGCGGTAAGAGGAGGCAAGAGATCGAGCCATCCAAAAGAAAGTGGAGTGATCATGATGGAAGGAGTCGATGGAGGCTGCCCATGTGAAAACGTGGAAGTCATAGTGGGTAAAAAGAGGGTGGTGGTGGAGCTTAGACTTGAAGAAGTGGAGCAGAGTTTGTGGGCTCAGGGGATGGTGGTCACTTAGCTGCGATTTGAGGAAGGTGACAAGTTGGGTATAGTGAGAAGACGGGGAGAGAGTGGAGACCGGGAGTGGGAGTTCTTGGGTATCTGGTGGGTTTGGGAGAGGAGGGAGTGATGGTAGTGATGATGATTTTGGAAGTTTCGAGAGTGGTTTAAGGAGACTCTTCTTCTTCAATGCCATTTTTCTGCAATGAGAAAAGTAATCACATTTATAATGCAATTAAAGAAAGCTACTAGATCAGCAAAGTTATGGCAGAGTAAAATTTGGTTACCTGGCCAATCAGACAGAAAATATTCAATAGCTCAAGTGGTCATTTTAGAAACCACAAAAGTAATGAAAAAATATCGTTCCAATTAGACACCATAATGCATTGGTCAATGAACAGAGAAAAGGTTCAGAAAATTAGAATGGGACAAGATGTTACATACCTATTCTGCATCCTAAACCTTTATTTTTCTTTTCATAATGCCTAAACAATTTTAACTGATCCTGGGAAACATTTAATAGCCCAAAGAATGTCTAGTTTGCGCATTTATCTCTTACTGCAATTGCCCAAAAATAAAAGAAAACTAATATTGACAAGTCCTAATTGGGAGTGGGTTAAACACATCCCAAAATATAACCAAAAGGAAAGGAGCAAAAAAGAAATATAAAAGATGCTTTCTCACCTTTCATAGAGTCTTCCTTGAATTCCCGTATTCCGAAGGTATTTGATATGATGTTTTTTCTTTAAATACTTGAGGGGAAATTACAAGCTTACCAATGACTGTCAATGAGGACCATGTGTAACAAGTGTCAAGATAGAATTATAGATACAGATCATCTATCACCAACTCCAGTCATATGGTATACCAAGGGGGCATTGGTATGCCCAGCTAGCCAGATGATCCACACACCTATTTCCTTTTCTATGGATGTGTAAAATCTGTATTTCCTAATCTCGATGAAACAGTGCTGCAGTATCAAACTAGTGGGGCATTGTCGGTGGATCATAGCTTGCTAGTCTAATCAGAAAGTACTTAACATATAACGACTCCACTCCGACAATGAGTTGTCAGATTCCTTTTTCCTATACCTGTTTTTATTGTTCCAAAACTCCTGAACCCTCCATTGTGCGGGTCCTACTATGGTGGAAGATGGCCATGAAGCCCAGAAGTAAAGGACTTCGAAAATTTTAAGTACCCCTAATTTGACCAAAATGCAGTACTAGCACTAGATATAAATATAATAAGCTTAGAAGTTTTCTTGTGAAATATTCCTACATTCGATTCAATAGAATCTCATATTTAACTTTAGAAAGATCTATCAGAAAAAAATAATAATAAAGAACACATATACTGTAAGTGTATATAGTATATATTGGCTCAAAGCCGAAAACCACCTCCGAACTATCCAAAAAAATGTTTAACTCAGCCTTTGCGCAAATTCTACATTCAATTAGACTCAAGATTTGTAAGAAGACGCCCTTATTTGGATGGAGAAGTGGACCATTATACACATTAATTTTAGCTTAGAAGTTTTCTGGTGAAATATTCCTACATTCAATTCAATAGAATCTCATATTTAACTTTAGAAAGATCTGTCAAAAAAAAAAATAAAGAACACATTTACTCTAAGTGTACATAGTACATGTTGGCTCAAAGCCCAAAACCACCTCCGAACTATCCAAAAAAATTGTTTAACTCAGCCTTTGTACAAATTCTACATTCAATTAGGTCCAAGATTTGTAAGGAAGACGCCCTTATTTGAATGGAGAAGTGGACTAATATACACATTAATTTTAGCATGTGTGGCAGATGATGTGGCATTTATTTGCACATATGGAGTTGCTGTGGTATGATCATGTCGATAATTTCAATTTTTTTTATTTTTTTTAAACTAATAATATCTATGCTACGAAATTAAATAAAAAAGAAATTAATACTTCAAAATTTTTAGGATATTCTTAAACTTGTCATCCTCAACCTTTCTCTTAAGCAATAATACCAGATAAAACTCTTTTTCATTTCCAAATGTTCTTCTCCTTATACAAACACCCTAAACCTAACAAAATCTTCTCTAAATCTTCATCTACAAACACCTTAAAACTAACAAAAATGACATCTAATTTTCAGTTTCAATAGGAGTCACTACCGATCCTTTTGGAAGCGAGATCAGACAGTAAAAATTAAGCATAATTCCAAATCAGAGATAGATCCAAGATGCCACAAGGTACAGAGGAGTGAGGCACTTATAGTTCGATGTAGACTAACCCATCAAGTGTATTGTACATGTACTTCATTAATAATATAAATACTTTACAAATTGCATGAGAATGAGGAAAGGAAAAAACAAAAAATAGGAAAGAAAACAGAAAGCAAAAAAGATAAAGTAGTATAAAAATGAAAATCTTATGGAATTATTTCCATGGTCAATTTCCAAATTTTCCTTGAGGCAAAAAGGGTGAACCCTAATGGTCATTCTTGTCGTTTACATCATGTAATAGAGGTCTTCTCGTCGAGCAATTTCTTTTTTGTTGCCTTTTTATGTTTTCTTCCTCAATGCAATCTTTATGAATATGTGCTCCGTGTGAAAAAAATTAAGCTAAAAATATAAAGAGATGCCCAAACAGTAAGGAAGAAGAGGAAAACAAAGAAAGACCAAGCTGATCATGTCATTTTTTTAATCCAACAAAAACCACTAGCATAAAGAAGAAACAAGCAGGAGTATGGCAATCACTAACCCTTTTTTAGCCCAACCAACAATTAATTAAATGATAACCATAGGGATGCAAGGCTTGCTAAAGCTCAAATGAGTGTTTAAAAGAGGATGCTTTCAGTTTAGGAGCTAAGACAAGTACCAGCAACAGAGGAGTTTATGAGAATGCCTGCTGGCAGTAGGTAAAGCAAGGAATAAACAGGGGTAACCCAGCAAACTAACAAACCGTGGGAAGCAATGTATATGCAATTATCTAAATCTATTCCATCTTGGGAACCGAGGCAGTAAGTCATTCATAATTCGAATTAAAGAGCATTTAGAGTAGAAGAAGAGAAGGAAAAAGAAAAGCATAAGCAATTCATCAATCAGTGAGCCTCTGACAAGGTCACACAGTAAGAGCACTTTGAACACATTCCCAAGCATCACATCAAATCATTCTAGTAACGAGCATTCGGTAATAACATCATGAAAAAAGAACTTGGAAGAACATAGAATATACCTTGACTTGGGAAAAATAGTATTCAAGCTCCTCCTTTCTCTTTTCTCCCTTGTTCCATCTCGGTTTCTCCTTAATCTCACAATCCCAGACTCGTTTCTTCTCAGCTACATGAATTTTTTTTCTTTCTCTGCTTCGCCTGAAACGCAGAACGAGCCCCCTTGATTGCTCTCTTTCTGTTTCTCCGGCTCATTCTCTGGCCCTGGCTTCCCCAAACCCGATTATATCCCCCTCTCCTTTTCCCATCTCAAAAACTCTTCCAAAAACCAGCCACCTATTGAAACCTAAACTAACCCTTTTTCTTCTCTCGTTACCTCAAATTTTTTTTAATCTCGAACCAGGACCCTCTTTTTCTTCTTCCATAGGTGTTTGGGGTAGTTGTAACTTGTGCCGTAGATTTTGAAAGTAAAAGCGTTTACCTAAAAACTATTTAGTTTTTTATGAAATAAAATTAAAAACTATTGTGTGTTTCGTGTTTGGCAAAAAATAAATGATGCAGTTTATACAAAAACCTAATTTTTTTTTTTTTAATTTCGGTTTTCTCCTGCCTCTTTATCTCCATCTTCCTCTTTCTTCTCTCTCTCTCTCTCTCTCTCTCTCTCTCTCTCTCTCCTCATCTTCCTGTCTCGTCATTCTCTGCAAAAGAAAAAAAAACCCATTTTTTTTTTTTAATTTTGAGTCTCCTCTGCTTCTTCTTCTTCTTCTTCTCTCTCTCTATACCCCTCATCGTTTCATCTTTGCTTTATCACTCACTCACTCAAACTCAGATACATCGACTGTTATGGCAGAAGAGGGCACATACATTGAATATTTGCCTTAGAACTCTTGTCCTCATATTCCTAGGTGCTGAATCTATTTTGAGTGCCATTGTGGTCGTTATACTTATACCCTTTTGAGTATAAAAGAATATCTTAAAGCTGGGTTGAGTTTAAAACAACGAAGTAAGCCACCTTTATTTCATGGATATCAAACTCAAAATTCCTCCTTTACTCTTATCACCTAACGAAACCATGCTTCAATTCACAAATTCAACCAAGTATTCTACATACTTTTGTTTAGGAATATAAGACGCAATGGTTTATTGTTAGATTATTCATTTTTCAAGTTAAAAAAAAACTTTTAAAATTTTACAACATAACTAAAAACTTTTAATAGATATTCCTCCTAATTGTATATTATTTATAAATAGTTTGAAAAAGTATCAGTAAAATTAAAATTTTACAAAAATAAACAAACTTTTTTCTTTAGTTATGATATAAAGTGCATATTTATTATTCGAAATCTGCAGGGTTAATTCCTTCTCCAATAGTCTTTCTGAATTCTTTCCACCATTTCTTTGCTTCTTCATCTCTGTCCAGCATGGTGTATATAATGGCCTGCGGTAATGCAATGTATAAAGTCAATATTTTTAAAAGTTAAATTATCTATTTACAGATATATTCCCTATAATCAGTTTACTAAAATTATAATTCTTCTTCAATTCCTTAATTTTCTTTTTGATTATTAATATAAATCCATAAACTGAAACAGCTTTATAAAATGTAAACGGACCCTGTAAAGATACAAGCGAACGTCAGAACTATGGCCGTAGTCATCTTGGAGGCATCTACATTCTGAGGCTTCTTTGTACTTTCCCTGAAAATAGAAAAGCTTGCTATGATAATAAAACTTACACTTGAGAAATTATAATAATGTGTTAGTGTATACATGTACATATGTATGCATGTAAGTATGTACACCTGACATATAAGAATTTCAACTAGTGCCATCTCCACATTATATGCAGGCTCAGAGTCATTTTTATACTTGTTGCAAGCCTTGTACAACAGTTCAAGCCCATCTTCTGGCTTTCCCATTTTCACCAGCCTCACTGCCTCCATCTACAAACTCATGTTATTACTTGTTAACATCATTCCATTTTTTTTTGTTTAAACGTGAATAAAATTAGGCAGAAGCAGATTAAATTATTAAAAGAAAAAAAACACGTAATAGTAATTGAAACAAACAATAGAGATCAGAGTTAGCAGAGATGAAAACCTTAATGACATCAACATCTTCCTTTGAAGGGGAAGAAGGCAGCTGGTCCAAATTAAAACCCCTTGGAAAAACATTTTGATCAGAAGCCAAACAAGCACTCACATCCAACAACGATTTAAGGGCAGCCTTCCCTCCAATAGGAAACAATATGGTCGAATACATAGCCGGAGGAGCTTTCTGATAAAGCTGCTTAGGACCAGCTATTGCCATCGGTTTCATCACGTTGGAGCTCCACCCGATGATGCTTAGGGCACAAGCTAAAACCACGGACGCCCTCACAGAGTGCTTTGCGACCATTCTATCGTCACCTTTTTCGTCCATTTCAGGTCCCAAAGACCTGTCCACAGCATGTGGAGTTCGATAGTAAACGTGGTAAGGATCATGCCGGAGTTTGTAACTGCCTGAATGTGATTGCGAAGAAGCGTTGTATCTGAAACCGAGTACGGGGTTCCTTTGAGTGATCATCGAGGAAGGGATACGAATTAGCGATGTTGTGGATTGGGGACTACAGCAGAAGTGAAATGCAGATTCCATTAACTTAGGAACAAGACTATTTTCTTGTGCTTCCTACAAACATTGAATTTAATGTTAATGTGGGAAGTTCTGGGGTTGAAGTAAAGCATCGTCCAGTTTCTTCAGACAAAAGTAGTGAAATTATGCTGGCAAGGCTACTGAATTGCTAATTATGTTATTCCTTTCCTTTTTTTTTTAGAAATTAAAAAACATTCAAAGATCAAAACCAAAGAATGTAAAAAAAAAAAAAGATTTTTTAATTTTTTAATTTATATTTGATTTTTAATTTGCAGTGAATAAATTCATAAAATTTAAGTATCACTTAAATTTAAACAATAATATTTTAATTTATAAGTAAAGTATTATCAATAATAAATATAATTTATATAATTAAATTTAATCAGGTAAGTCACTTATGATAGAATCCGATCCGATTAGAATATATATGCACTCTCTCTCTCTCTCTCACTCAACAAAAGGTTATACTTATGTAAAGAAGAATAAGAAATTTTTTATTAGTTTTTCTTCAAAAATTTAAATTTTTATAAGAAGTATTTATGCCGTAAAAATTACATATAATTTGTTGTACGTTAATGTGATTATACGTGATAATAAATAAAATGATTTTGATAAAATAGTTACAAAATTATTTTATAAATTATATGTTAATCGCATGATTTTAGTTAACATACATATTTTGGAATCATTTTTAAATTAGTTAGACTTCTAGCTCTAGTTTACAGTCCTGCAAAATCGAATGTGTCGAAATGTTAAGCAAGTAGAATATGTAGTATATGACCTGGGAAATGCAAATCTTTTTCCTTGGAATCCTTCAAAATACTTACGTTAGTGGTCAAGTTTCTTTACCCAACAAACAAGAATCATCTGAATAAGAATATGCTATCATTAGGGTGATGTTATCAGAAGATGAGAATAAATTCTGCCTGAAAAGAAAAGCAACAGACAATTATAAATTTATATATACGTATATATTTTCTGGTAATGTTCCTCTATCAAGAGTTTACGAAACCCAAATGGCGAAATTCTCTAATAAATTCAGCATGAAGTCAAAATATGGAGCCTTGGCGGTGACTGCGACTCCCATTGTCATCTTGGCCGGCATTTATGTCGGAATGGCTTATGCAAGTCGGTACGCTGGGAAAAGAAAACACAAGGCTAATGCTCTCGGTAGGTCTGTGTCCATGGGAGCTCTCCACGGAGGAAAATTAGCAGTGCGGAGATTAATCGACTATCAAACTTACCGTGCTTCTGAAACTTCCTCCACTGATGCTGAGAAAGAGTTGAAAGCTTTACTGGAAATGGAAACGCTGGATGTTAAATCTCTTCAGGTTAAGTCAATTATTTTCAATAAACCCCCTTACATGAATACATACATATATATACCTACATACATAACATGAAATATTATGCATTAAATAGGAGATTGCTGCGAGGCTAGAGCTGAGTGGAAAAGAAGGTGAAGCCGTTGAGATACTAAGGAATGCACTCAAGGATCCTGAAATGCAAAAGAAACCACACGAAGCCTACGAGATGGAAATGTTGCTCGCAGAAATGTTGATCTACAAAGTCGTCTTCTTACTCTCCCTTTACTCACCATTCAATTAATTAATAATTACACAACGATGTCATTCGTGTAATTCTTACAGCTACTGCCCATTGCAATAATCATATCTCATATGCATGCTCCGAAAGTACCCTATAATCATAAAAAGATAGCATGCAATGCACCAACAAGAATTTCAATTATTACAATCATACAATATATATCTGTCCGCCACTGTATACATACATACATACATACATACATACATACATACATACATACATATGAAGATTCTTCGTCATTTTTCAACTTTGAATCAATAGTTTTCTCCTTAACCTCCAGCTACTTGCAGAAATTTTGTCAAAACTTACGTGGTTAATTAATTTGATTAAATTAGAGAAAAACCAACTTAAATCTCTAATCAATCAGAATCTTTGTAATCGTCTTTTTGACAATCGTATGGCAGTGAATTAACAAAGTATTATATATATGGCTGCATAGGGAGACTATGCAGGAGCTTTAAAGTGCAGGTGCTTGCAAGAAAATAATATTAGTGATGCTCGGCGCCCGCTATACAAGGTGAGGGTAACTCTTTCATCTTCTCGTTCTGCCATTATGTATGTATGCTAATACTATTCATAACTACAAATTTAAGCGAACAAAATAATATAATGTAGTCGTAAAATTTACTTAAACATTGATTAAATCACGTAAACACAAATTATTATATTATAAAACATATAATAATCTTAGAAAGGAATGTCCCACAAATACATAAATTTTTATATTTAATTCATGATACGGAATTATATATTTTAACATGAATTATAATCTGCGGAACATTAAAAAAAAAATATGTTTGAAACTTATAATTATGCTTGATTTATACAACGAATTTAAACGTAATGAATTACTAACTTGTATAAAAGAAACAAAAAAATTGGCAGGCCATAATCCATACAATCCTCCAAGACGAAGAAGACAAGAAAGGCAAAGAATACTTTGAGGAGTACAAAGAAATTCAGAGTTGTCTTCACTGGCCACCAGTTTCATCAGAAGACAATAGTGATATTCAAAGCCTGTATATATCCGACTTTGAACGCTTCGAGAAGGCAGTTCGTGTCCTCAAAGATGATATCGAAATGGCAAAGCTGCGCAGTGATAGATAGTCTTTTCCGACTTGTATATGTTTTTAGCTACTTTGGCAAAACCTAATATTTGGAAACTCTTTTTCTTTTTCTTCTCCAATTGTGCAAAATAGATGGAAACTGAAATGTTCATTGGTACACTCTAACAAATGAAATAAGCATCAAATTTTAGTTTTATAACAATTTTTATATGCTCGAACGCGAAATAGATTATATTATTTTTTTATAAAGAAAAATTTGGAATGTGACAATCATAATATAAATATTAAAAATTGTAGATGACAATATTCATAATATAGTTATTAATTTAAATGAGTCAATGAATAAATTTTTATTTATGGTTAATATATATGTATGTATAATCAATATTTATTATGTTTATAGGTAGTATTAATACATCACATATTTCTTGAAGAACACGAAGTAGAGTAAATCCCTATGATGCAATGATCCAAGTCTCACGGATAAAATTTCGTGCAGCAAAATATACACATATATAATATATATATATATATATATTTATTTAGAATCATATTGTACGTTATATCATGGAAAGTGAATGGCACCAATTCCAAAGAATACATTTAGAAAGAGAACACAAAATGGGAATGGGAATGGGAATTGTAACGGCAACACCACCTCTCCTCTTCCAATCCAAGCTACTCTGCGTTTCTCTGCTCTGCCTCTTCACTACCATCTTTCTAGCTCTCTACACTTCCCTCTCTCAAAACAAATGCTTCTTCAGATCATCCCCTCGGGACCCAATTCTCATCCCTCTCTTCTCCTACCCTCCCTCTTATGGCGAACACAAGTATGCTCTCCCCACTCATCGCTCTTCTTGTTCCTCCCCTGTCTTCTTCTCAGGTTTCTTCTCTTCTCACTTTTTTTTTAAAAAGAATTTATTCAGTGGCAATTCTTCTTTTTCCTTTAATGCTTATACTATTCGTTGTTATTTTGTTTCTTCTAATCAGATTATTTAATGGCGTTCAAGGAGGTCCAGGATATGTGTAAGAATTCATCGGTTTCTTCCTCATCGGTTTTGAGTTATAAGCAAGGCCGGGGTAAGAGTTTTGGTGGGAATTTCTCTACTCCGACGAGAATTTCTTATTTTGATCATTCAAGGACAAACGAGATACTTCCCTGTGGATTCTTCAAAGACTTTCCAATTACCAATTCGGGTGAGCAATTACCAATTTAGTAAGTAACGTTGGTCGAAAATATTTGCACTTCAAATTAAATCGTAAACCCATTTTCGCTAATTATTTCTTTCTGCTTCTGTCTGTGCGGCAATTAGATCGAATCGCCATGGAAAACTGCAAAGGAGTTGTGGTCGTATCCGCAATCTTCAATGATCATGACAAAATTCGACAGCCAAAAGGGCTCGGATCTCACACTCTAGACAATGTATGTTTCTTCATGTTTGTTGATGACACAACCCTTAAACAAATTCATTACCACCACTTAATTTCAAGGAAATCAATTGAATATAAAGTAGGCGCATGGAGAGTTGTTAAGGTTGCAAGTCATAATTTGTATGAGAATCCAGCCATGAATGGTGTGATTCCTAAGTACTTAGTCCACAGGCTTTTCCCAAATTCCAAATTCAGCATTTGGGTAGACGCCAAACTGCAGCTGGTGGTGGATCCTTTGTTGCTTATTCATTCTCTTGTTGTGTCTGAGAATGTGGACATGGCTATATCCAAACATCCATTCTATATGCACACTATGGAAGAAGCTATGGCAACTGCAAGATGGAAGAAGTGGCTAGATGTTGATGGCTTGATAACCCAAATGGAGACATATTGTGATCAAGGCTTGCAGCCGTGGAGTCATAAGAAGCTCCCTTATCCCACAGGTAGTCTGTTATATTCGCATATTTTTGCTCTACTTGGTGTTGCATGATCTGATAAGTACATGATCAAAATTTATGGATAAATTTTTTGTCCAAATTGTGTTTTTAGAAAGAGTTTATTTTGTTTTATCCTTTTAAATGCCCTAATCCTTCAATCTCGGTTTTTAAATTCTAGATTTACTGCTCTAATACCTTGTTAAATAGTTGAACTAGCAATCTAAAAGCTTAATAGAACAAACAAAATCCTACCAGCAAACATCAATTTAATAATTATGTCATCTCTATTAAGAAAGAATAAGAGTTTGTTCATGGCTTAAATCTCAAGTTGTAAAGAAAGTAGGTTGATCACTTAACTAAAGAAGAATTTCCTAATCTATTTAGGTAAGGAAGAAAACCCAACTAAAGAAAATTAAAAAAAAAAAAAAAAAAAAAGTAAAGAACTCAATATAGTATCTATTTTGTTTTTCCTTGAAACCAAAGGGGTTTACTTTCTTGCTCATGAAGTTTGTGAAAAAGGGAACTAGCAACTTTGAGAATCTGTAAAATCCCCATATAGTATATCTTTTAAAACAATATGTAACCACAGTAAGATTATTATGTTAAAATATTGAAGACATTGAATTATCATTCCTGTTTATGTCCAATACATCTTTATTTATTGCTTAAATCTTTTAGCTGTGTGATTAATAGCAATATTGTTTTCTCTAGTTGATTCTTATTCAGATGCTCAATACTAAATATGATAATATAAAAGAAATTAAAGTAGGTGTTGGTCTAGCTCTTTTGTTCACCTAGTGTACCATACATATATAGTTGCCAGTATGGCTTTTCTTAATGACTCACAAGGACAATGTGATGAAACTTCTTCTTTTCTTCCTTACTGTCAATGATCTGTCTGTTATATGCATATATATGGTGAGAATAGACCTACCACCTCCCATCAAAATTGCCAATTGCTGGTCACCAAAAGAAAAAATTAATAAAAAAGCAACAGGACATAGAAAATCAGCGGTGGTCCCAAAGGCAGGCGGCCATGTCATATAGACAACTACACATATACCCTTTTAAAAACATTGTGATGTCTACCCATACATGCACAATTAAATTTTTTATTACATTTTCAAATATAACATTTTTATTAAGTTTTGGAAATTGGACGAATCATCTACTCTCTGCTGCATGTGGTGCTCAACTATTTAAAACCCATGGCTTTAACTATCCCCTAACTAGAATATTCCAATTAAAGATGCATACCAAGAAAACTTCTTTAATTTGCATTAAAAGCTGCTAAGCTACATACGTATGCATAGAATGATATGTACATGTACACACTTGTGCGCTTGATGTGTTAAACAATCGTTATAGCTTTTCATTTTCCTTCAATGGTTGGCTGTGTGGATTTTAGCAGATGTACCGGATAGTGCTATGATCTTGAGGAGGCATGGAGTGGCCAGCAATCTATTTTCCTGCCTTATGTTCAATGAATTGGAGGCATTTAACCCAAGAGATCAACTTGCCTTTGCATTTGTGAGGGACAAGATGAAGCCAAAGCTGAAGATAAACATGTTCGAGGTTGAGGTGTTTGAGCAGATCGCAGTTGAGTACAGGCACAACCTCAAAAGGTTTACGGGCGACAGTACTGTCAGAAAATCAAAGACCAGTAAAAGAACGTTCAATCATTTGTTACTTAACAACACTTGTCGTAGTAGCAGCTGCAATTCTTATCTTTCAGAGATGTGGGATGATGAATCCCCTGGTTGAGATTCTCTCTTTTGACTTCCACAGGAAAAGTTGACAGAAGTGAACAGCTTGGGTAGGCCACATTTGTTTATTTCATCATATTCTTTGGGTGGGACAGGATTTGTACTTTATATTTCTTATGTAAGCTGCATTGGCATTATTCAGAGGGATATTTAGGATTAGAAAAACAGTATATATATATATATATATGTGTGTGTTGTATATTCTGTAGACCATCAAAACCCTAATAAACTTGTCTTCAATTACGTCCAGATTTCCAAAATGTTCTCAAATCGCTCCCTTTTGGGTTGATTACTGTTTGGCCTAGCTTACGCATGTTTGATCTGAGCTGATCTTCTTTTCCTCTCTTCTCCTCTTTTCTTTTCATTTAAACTCCTCCATTTGTGTCGACCTCAACCTAATTCTTTTCCTCCACAAAACAAAACCTTAATATCCTTTTTTTAACATTTTTACAAAATAATTACCCATATCATATAGAAAAGAAGGTAATACTTTTATTATTTGTAATTTAAAAAGAAATTAGAGGTTGGAATTTTTATTTTTGTCTAATACAACAAAGAAATTTACATTTTCCCAAAAAAAAAAGCTATACATAGCAAGCCCACTTCAGTCATTCCACAAACAACCACCTTTATATTTATAAAAAAAAAAAAAAAACAGAGACCCAGAAAACTAAAGATGGGATCCAAACAGCTGATATCAGCTCATAAGGAAAACGCAGAGATCTACCATGGATCCTGTCTCTGCAAACAAAAATCCATAGAACTCCTCTGCCTCATGAACCTACCCAAGGCTCTTCTCCCCTTGACCGACCTGGTAGAACTCGGCTACAACCCAATCACTGGCTTCGTCTGGCTCAAACAAAAGCAACCCTACCACCACAGGTTCAGGGGTATTGGTCGAACGGTGTCGTATGATGCTGAAGTCACCACCTTCATTGAGGACGGTCGGATGAGAAGACTCACGGGAGTCAAAAGCAAGGAACTCCTGATCTGGGTTTCCATTTCTGATATCTATGTTGACGAGAACCAAGATCATGCTGGCACAATCACATTTGCTAGTTCTACGGGGCTGGCACGGACGTTCCCTGTTTCTACCTTCGAGGTTGATGAGTAACTTTTCTGATACAATTCGCAAGGATCATACTTCTTAATTCTATGTTTTTTTTTTTTCTTCTGTTAAAAAATATTTTTGTTTATGCATGCTATTTAATCTATTGCATGCAAACACACAATAATTTTTTTGTTCATTTTTTATTTGTTTATAAAATTAAACTTGAGATTTGTATTTTCAAAACTAGGTTATTCAGTGCCATCAGAAAAAAAAAAAAAGAAAGCAGAAATAAAGATCGCAGGTGATCACTTCTTCTGATTAATGGTGTTTGTTTGTGGTGACAAGGGAGAAAATTAAGCACTATTTGAAAATTTCAAAGTTTCTTTCTTCCTGTTCATATCCTATGTAAAAATATTAAAAATAAATTTAAAATAAAATATTTCCTAAACCTGTATAAATAAAGGGAAAAAATTCTTATATTGAAGCAAAAAAGAACCCAATGAGGTGAAGGATATCTCTTTACCTTCTTATTTGCATTTTCAATAACTTTATGAATCCAAATTGCCTCGTGTACATATATTTTTTAAGTGTTCAAACAGTAATGTTAAATCGTTCATCTTTTTTCTTTATGACAATAAAAAAAAAGAACAAAATGTTAATTCCCATCAGATGAGAGTGAACCCGACTAGTAAAGATTTATTGTTTTCTCTATTTCTGATTTCTCAACCATTACTGAGAAAATATTGAATTTAATACTTAATGTTCTTACTATGAGAGATTCAGCTAGTTAATTAATATATAAGCTTTTTAACTATAGAGAATCAACTTTTATGGTAAGCTTTTTAATCTTTTTCCCTAAATGAGCTTCAATTCTTTCAAGACTTTTTAAATTTTTGTTGTCACATGCCGAACATTATGTAAGTTGTACATGAACCCTAACAACTCATCCCTTTTGGTTGTCCTAAATAAGCTTACTAACTCTTACACTCCCAAAGGTCTCCTCAGGTTGAACCCTCTTTGTTGACTTTGCATCATGCTGGGCTTTCCATCTCATCCACAAGTATCTAGTGAATTCTTTTGAGTTGGCTTGAAGATATGGTATTTTGTGAGGCTCATGAAATTCTCATATAATCTTGATAATCTCTATGTTTGAGGCAGTAGCAAATATACTCACTTCTATCACGGATGAATTTGTTCATTTTCTCCCAAATGATTCACACTGCTATTGGAAAGATCCATCTCCAACTAACAATGTCATAAGTGTTATTATTGCTTGTGTGACATGGGGCATTTGTCTTCTATAGTAATATATCATTTATTTCTTTCTTAATTCGTTATGAGATTATTATAAGCTAGTAGCTACATAAATTGTTGAACTTGTTTAGGCATCAATAGGGTTCGAATGATCCATTATTGTTTAGCTCGAGCATACTTATATTATTGAAGAAATTATTGGGTGATCTCTATGATATGTTATTGCCGCTTGAATTAAACCGAATCCATATAGGAGATCTTCGTGCACAATATTCTTCCTAAAAATCTTATTAACTCCTTCTATTTCTATATGTCATTTATGTCTACATATGTTAGAGCTAGCCTATCTAGTTGTCATTAGGGCACTAAACCCTATATGAAAGACAATAATAATATATCTCTCATCAATATATCCTCCCAAAAATTGATAACAATTCCCTCTCCCACCACCTATATGAGACCTAACTTGAAAATCTAGATATGTTTAAGTAAGTCCTTCCGAGTTAGAGACCCTTTAAAAAAGAATTTTGTTACTCTCAAGAGATTTTTATTGGGAAGTATTTTTTTTTTTAAGAGCATATGCCCACAAGTTATATTGTCCTTTCAATAGCTTCTCACCCAATTTCATAAGGAATGTTTTATTTTGGAGTCTTATCTTACATAAACTAAAACCACCAAGTATCTTTAACTAATACTCTTTGTTCCACTTAATTAAATGAATTTTGTGATTCCCAACTTTAGAGCACCATAATTTCTAGTAAGTTTGTTCAAATATTTTATCACTGAATATGAGGAATAGTATTGTATGTGTCGAGTACAAGAAAATTATAGACAAGATATATTGTTAGTAACAAAGTTCTTTTTGCCACAAAAAAGATAAGAGATTTGTTAGTCTGTAAATTTATTTTTAAACTCAATCAAGAATGACTTAATACGTATTTTAGGTGATATCTTTAGTATAAATCTTTGATTTCTCGTCAAATTTGTACATTAGAAAAATAAAAGTTTTGGTAAAAAAGTCAAAGTTTTCTTTAGTATAAATACTCTTATGCGTAGCCTTTTGTTTTTCATGAAGAAAATATATAAGAGATGAGATGTTAGATGAATCAATTGCATACCAGATATTGCATAATTTATCTTTATAAAATCTGTGTGGTTAAGAATTTTTTAGAACAATTAAAATAGCTACAAGCCGAGATCCAATGAATAGTGATTTCTTAACACTAACAAAAATCTTTTATTTAACAAAGTATTTGTCTAAGATGCCTCTGCAACATTATTGTAGAGTTTAGAGAGAAAAACATTTTGCAAAATTTTGCATTATCTTACAACAAATTCTTTTACCACTTATTAGCAATTTTTTGCTGACGAAGTCTTTACTATATATTTCATGGTGTTCGAGTTCATCACAGTTGTACAAACTTGGGTACAATGAAACATACATTAATGCACCAATTCCAAATTATATTTAAACATAACATTAGTTCAATTTCAATCAAAATACATCACAAGTAGAGATCCAAATAGGTGGGAAATTTTGATTTCTAACCCACCTCATCCAATCTGCACCGTCACTCTCACCTCCGCGCCTGCCTCAGCTCCAATCAACATTGTTTGTGACTCACTTGTGCTCAGAACTCGATTCCATTTGATGTTTCAATTAAAAAAAATGATTCTAGTCCAGAGAGAAGATTGGACCAAAACTAATACAGTCTGGTCTTCTATCCAAGGGTTAGGAATTTTTGGTCCGAGTCTGGTCAAGTCTTCGAATGATATACACCCTTACCCTGAAGCACACATGATAAAGACCACAAGTTCATTAACAAGATCTCTTATATGACCTGGAATTTCAAGTCTGCATGTGTTCTCAGATATCCTTGTCATCTTCGAGCAAAAATGCTGACTCTAGGAATGACTAACTTCTTCCATATTGAGAAAACAAAAAAACAAAATGTTGTCACAATAAGGACACAGTCCAGATTCCAGAATGTCTGCAGTTCATCTGCTCGGTTCTGCATTTAGGATAGGTAGACAAATGACTATCAGTTGAGTAAGCAATACTCCACCGGCGGATAATGCAAGTTTTCCAATATGTCATATTTACGGGTGGCGAAGAAAAGAAAATCATAGGGGATTGCTGAAAGCTGTCCCTGGGGATTGCTGAACAGCATTGAAGGCAGCTTAGGAATGGAAGAGCTCCAGAGTTTATCAAATAACATCATCTGCTTGATCATCTTATTCCTTCTGTAAAATCTGTAACTTGACTTCCAACACCAATCTAGTCACCATCCTGCTTATATAGGAGAAGAAAGAAACTTGTAGGAGAAGAAAGAAACTTGGGTGGGAATTATTATGTCTTCACTGTATTTTGACACTAGTACTTCTTGCCCTTCCACTGGCTCATTATCCTGCACATGAAATAAAATATTTGAGAACCATTCGACTTCGTCACCATCACTCCATGTTACACTCTTCATTTTATAAGTGTACTTGCATCTAACAAATACTCCAGAACTATAAATATGATATTTGACCCTTAACATCAATATAAGGTTCGAAAATTAGGAGAGGAACCAAGTGATGGGATCTTATATTCAGTTATATATATAAGTACTATTTATATCCCACACTCATACCTGAAGCTTACATGCCTGCTGCATCATCAAGTAGATGATTCTGCTTCGAAATTTTTCTCTCATGCCTTGACACCCTTCACTCCAATATAATCTTCCATGGAAAATGTTATAGAAGATATTAAACAGAGCACAGGTGCGGGCAGTGAAACCAGTTTGACAGATTCCTATCAGCTTGAATTTCTCTCTTTTTTTTTTTTAAACAGATAAAACGCCCAACAATTTCCTACACGAATTCTAGCAGAAAAATTCAGATAAACATTCCAAATCTATGGCAGTATTCATGACACCCAGGCTGCTTTCTCTAATACTTTCTTGACCAGTTTCCATCACTAGACTGACACCTCCGTACTCCAAGAGTCTTAAAATCCCAGACAGTCTCTGATATCTGATCCTGAGGCAACATTAAACCCTGACCTTTTATTGATCTATGCAAGTCACAGAAGAATTTTGGATCTTGCAGTTTAATATATTCATGTAAAACCCGCTCATGATCCGGCACCCAGTTCCTCGGAAATGGAGTGTAATCACAGGATGGAATCAGTGACATATGTGAGAATTGAACACCTTCAATTGCATCCACAAGCCCCATTCTCAAAAGATCAGAATATTCTGGTGCAGAATTGTTGCTACTCTCTCGGAGTGGCTTGCTGAGATTACGTGAAGCTATTTTATACACCTTAGCACGAGACTTCAGTCTGTACCTTGCAGCATACAGTTTAGCCAAAGAGCTACGAATCACATAAGCACAAAATCCAACAACTTTCTTGCGATTGTCAGCATATCTGTACCAATCAGCCATAGTTTCAAGGAATTTATTCATCTGAGAATTAGTATGAGCTTGGCTTGAGTACAACATTGGGGTACAAGGCAGTGGTTCAGGATCCTTATCACCCTTAACAAATTCAAGTCGTCTGAATTGACGAATACACTGCTGTAAGCTAGCAGTGATCGAAAGTAAAGTCCCTACACCCTTTTCACTAATAATCTTACCCCCACTGGAAGTGTATCTAAGAGTAGGGTGTATCACTCGTCTGCAAATTATATGATCCAAGAACTGTATCCCCCTAGTTATGTGTTCAATCTCCGCTTTTGAATTATCCAATCTCAGCCCGAATCTCCTTTCACAAAATTCACTAATTTCTTTTCGAATTTGAACTGCATCTTCTCTAGGCCCTCGAATACCAATCAAGAAATGACCCCCATATCGAATGTAATCCATTTTCCTAGTCTTTTCCCGACCACTAGACGGAACAAACTCTGGGCCAAGCAGATTATGACAACCATCATC